TTGGAGCAATATTTAAGATGTACCATTAACTACCAACAAGTTGATTGGACAATTGTTTTGCCATTGGCAGAGTTTGCTTACAATAACACGGTACATTCTTCTACAAAATAAACACCTTTCTTTGTTAATTATGGTTATCATCCACGACTTGATACTTTTGACTTTTCAAAAGTTGATAATCCTACTACGAAAGATTTGGCGATTCATTTATCAGAGCTACATGTAATGATGAAGGCATAGTTAAAAGACGCTCAAGAACAACAAAAGGTCAATGCGGATGTGTATCGAAAGGAACAACCACTATTCCTCTTGGGTGGTAAAGTATGGTTACTTTGTCGCAATATCAAGACCACTCGTCCTTGTGACAAGTTGGACTATTGAAGGCTGGGACCATTTTTTATTTTTGCACAAATCAATTCAATTACATATTGTTTACATCTACCGGAGTCAATGAAAATCCATCTAGTATCCCACGTATCTCTTCTTGAACCATACAAGACAGTGGACATACCAAGAAGACGACAAGCTCCACCTCCTCCTATAGAAGTGGACAATAATGAAGAGTTTGAAGTAGAAGAAGTCTTAGATTCAAGGCGGCGCCAAAATAAATTGGAATATCTTGTCCATTGGCACGGATATGGTATTAGTGAATGCACATAGGAGCCAATAAATAATCTTGCAAATGCAACAAAGGTGGTGGAGGCTTTTCATTGACGACATCTATCAAAATCAAGATAAAAATCTTCTTTATAAAAGAAACAACATCTAGGCAAGATAACATTGTACTTTTAATCCTTGTTCGTAGCTTCTTTGTAGTTGTGACGTTCAGGAGATGGAGAACCAACAACTAGTAGATTCGACTCAAGAACCTTCATTTGTTGACCTGCTAGATGAGACATTACGATTGTCACAACCTTCAAGACGATGCAATCGAGATGAAGATCTTCAAGAACGACATGTTCTTCCTCGAATAGATGGCGAGATACAACGTGTTTGGTATCACGATTTGGGAAGGGACTCCCGATGTTTGGTGATTTTACTAGAGGTAGGAACAACTCCTGATGGTGTTCCAAATGTTCTATTCAAAGGAAGTTATGAAGGCCTCAACAATGATCAAATAACTAGGTGGTCTTCCCGCCCTGGTATGGGACACTACCGATGGTTGAGAGGCCCTATCAATCATCTTCGAAGAGAACAAAGATTAGAGTATGTGGCGAATATAAATTGTCGCATCATAGATTTTCTCAACATATGATGACCACTCCTCGTGGAACTCATCCCTAAAAGGGGGGGTAATGTCACGGACATACTCATGTAAGCTAGTAATTACATATACAAATAGGTAGAAGTAAGTAAAAGTAAATAAAAGTAAGTTAATTCTATAGTATTTAATATGAAAGCTTCCTAGAAGCTTCATAGATGCTGCTTTGACTTCATAGGTGTCTTTAATTGACTTTTTGGATTAAAAACGTGGTCAAAAAGTTGGCCATGTGCCACACATGTTGTTAGCTTGAAGATCAAGCTAACAATGTGGCCCACACGTAGAAAAACTTGCCTTGTAAGTCAAGGCATGTGTCCTACAAAGTCAATACATATTGGAGGTTCTATAGAACGTCACCACGTAGCCTTTAGTTAGATAGTATATATAGAGACAAGAATGAAGCCTTCTTCACTCTTGTCAACTCCTTTCTTGCTTCTAGTCTAGTTTCAAGGGTCTCTAGTTTTCTTGTCTTTTGGCAATAGCCATTCCAGCTTTTCTTTTAATATATATATTTATTTATATATATTTTGTTACCTCTCTTTGAGTGAAGGCTCACTTGTCTGAATTGTTTTTTCATCGAGTTCTTGTCCTTGACAACTACATGCTCTTCAAACTTGTCACAATTGTCCATTTGTAAAATTTTAGTTTTTATGTACTCTATGCTAGCAAAATTTAATATCCTAATAGTAAATTTTTATAGTTAGTATTCACAACTTTTTAAAGATTTTTATAGTGTTAACTTAAAAACTATTACGTATTTATGTTTTAACTTAGCTTGAAAGTTACAAATGTATATTTAAATAAGCATAGAAGTTTTATTTTTTAATCAATGGTACATCTTTCTATATAGACAATTATTATGAATATTGTCATATAAAAAATATTAATTAATGTTTGTTGTAACAAAGATGAGAGTTAATACATCATTATATGTGTGCATGTTTTTACAAAATTCTTTAGTTTTGTAGCTAGTACCTTCTAATCTAGATGCACAAAGCTTCTAAAAGAGGGTTGAAAGATTAAAATAGTAACTTTTCTATTAATCCAGCATATTCTAAAGTGTGGATTCATCTACAAAGTATCAATTTTATGTTCTTTTATCTAGGGAAGAATTCAACAATTTTTGTAAGGAATAGTTAACATTTCAAGTGAATGATAAAGATTACAAACTTGCATATCAAAAATATAGTATACAAGAAACACTTTATATATTATATATTTTGCTACAATACATGCTTTTGTATTTGCTTATGATTCTTATTGGTCTTACATCTTTTTATAAGATTTACAATAACCAATAATCAATTCAAGGCCTACTTCAAGGATTTGAGCACGTTGTATTTCATTTGTAGCATTGTGTTATAGGATTTTTTGCATTTCACATACTAAATTCTTTCATTTTCATTAAGATGTTATGTGTATTTCATGTTATCCATTAATCAATTGATTCTTAATATTGAAGTTAGTGATCCAAAGATTCAAGTTAAGTTTAATCTCAACCTAATATTTTGAATAAAATAATTAAATTACTAAAGCAAATATTGATCATTTGTTCATAAGTAACTAACAAAACAAAGTCTTAAAAAATAAAAGTTATTAAGAATTATTAACCTCAAAATTTTTAAATATGTATATATTAAAAAAGTATGTATTAAAAAGAAAATAAATTATATTCCTTCCAACAAAAAAACTAATTTATTTGCAATAGTAGAATCTTCTAAATATTTAACCTTGTTTGTATGTTTAGTAAGATTTTTCAATGGATTATTTTGACTTAGATTATTGTACAAAATATAACTCACAAAAAATTCGTTGGAAATTCAGGACTTTAATTTCTACATTAATAAATTATATACAACATAATAAAATAAGAAAAAAAAGAAAAGATAGAGAATGTAATTACTTTTTTTAAAAAATAACTTGTAAATAAAGTTGGCATACAAATTCTATTCTTGAATCATTAGAAAGTATGTGATTCCTATTAAGCAACATGTAGATTTATTCTATATACAAGTTGCAATAATAATTAAGCTTGAATTACTATGTAGCCACTTGGTTCTTGTTCATTACATGAACTTAAGTTATAACTTAATTTTTTCTCTTAATAAACCAATCTTGTTATATTTAGGCTTAAAAAATTGAAGATCTAGCTAATAACTTTTAAACTATTATATAAGAATGTTATACTGTTGTTGATAAGATGGAACTCATCAAATCTCAATAAATGGTTGAGTATTTGCGTGTTGCATTAGCAATCAATTGTCTTTCAATTAGGTGTTTTGATGATAGGTGAGTTGTATAGTGGACCATCTAGTGAACAATGTTAAAATTGCTTATAACTTTATCTTTAGCAAGATGAAGGAGCTAAAGGTGCTAATATCAATTTTGATAAAATCAAAAACTTTGTATTTAATAAATACAAAGTTTTTGTTGATTGGTAAATAGAACTACTTAAGCACAATGTAATTGCTCTTGTTGTCGTTACATTCCTTCAAATCTAGAAGCAACAAGCTTTGATGGAATATAATCAAAGTGAGTTAGAATAAAAAAATTCTTGCTTTGATAGATGTTAGAACTTTAAATTTTATTGTTTACAAATTTTGGAGCTAAATATTAGAATTATTATAAAATAATATTTACCAAACGGACACATATCTATTATATTATAAAAAAAATTCTTATGTAAATAATTATAATAAGAATTAACATATATTAATATGTATATTTATTGAATTAACATCACAATATTCTTTGTTGTCATTTTGATTGTAATTTTGATTTATATTATTTTATAATTGATATATATTTTAATTTTTTTATAGTTATTGAAGTATAGAATTTAATGCATAATTGCCACATATTAAATACATACTTGAACTTAATATACTTTTATATTAATAATTTGAGTCACCATTATATTATACTTAAATAAGAAGTACGTGTAATTAAAGTTTGATTTTTTTATTTAATTATATTTTTTAGAGCTTTTATAAAACTTATAAAATATATTTAAATGTAAATTTAATCATATATGCATACATACATACATACATACATACATACATGATAGAATTCAAGGATTTACTATAATTCTAGTAGCACTGAATTAAAAAATCACGAATCATATAAAAATTCAAAAATCTATATATTTTTTTAATACACATATAACTTATGTAATTCTTTTATTGAGTTAAACCAATCTGTTAGTTGCTAAAAATATTAATTAATCTAGTTGCATAAAATCTAAACTTGTTGAAATAATATTAAATATTAAAATTCCATGTGACAATAAATACACATGTGTAATTTTAAAAATTGACATGGAAATTTTTTTATATTACTTATTTAATGTACTATAGCCATTGATGCAAAAATGAAATTACCCCCCCCCCCAAATACATTTCTATTAAATACACTCATCTCATATATACATAATTACTATAAAAAATAACATTGATTTAAATATAACTTTTATTAAAGATATATGGATGCACATAACATACATTTACTTGTTTATTCAATTAATACCAGATTATTGTCGTTTGTGCATCACATCACATCCTTCACAAATATTAAACAAATCACAACAACAAACAAAGTCATTACTAGAAAATTTTAAAAATCATTGAACTTTCCCAACATCTTCACCATTCGTCCTGCACCAGCATTAAGGAATTTAACTTGCATAGAATAATGTTTTGGAATGAGATATCATCAAAACAGCACTTCAACACCCTTGTGCAACTTTTAGAGGAAACTACAAATTGAATCCTTGTCATATTAATGTGAAGGCATTTGAGTGAATCTTCTTTAAAAAATTCCACTTCTCTACAAAATTGAACTACAGCTACAGGCGAAGGAAACAACTGAAATGGGATAGTCTACAAATCACCTTCATTCTTGACTAATCAAATTAGAAACGCAATGACACTTGCTCCTATCTAGATAAAATGTATCTTGGTGCAAGAGTATTTTCAGCTTCAAAAGCAATTAAACAGCAGTCGATAACATTGTAAGCTTGGGGCTGCTTGCAATGTGTTTGGCAAGAGATATGCATGTTTGCTAGCCTGCATTGACTGCAACAATTGCCCGTATTAAAACGCAGCTAATACACAGATTAGCAAGCTTAAGAACTGATCACTGATTCAACTTGAGTTGAAATTTTATAGCCGCCATAGGTCACAATTGTGAATAAAAGCTGCAGCTTCAAACAGTCAACAGTATATATATATATATATATATATATATATATATATATTGTTTTTGGCTTTTGCATCGACCTCCAAACCAACTCGAAGATGCTTCGCTCTGTCCTCGCGTCAACGATTCAATCCCACTCAATTCAATAATCAGAGATCATCCAGGTTGCATGTCACTGAGTCGAACCGAGAGAGAAACAAATGCCGACTATGGAATGCATCTTGAGCACATAACCCTTTCCAAAAGAAACCAGTCCAAACTGGAGAACATAGCGCTTCGAGGTTTCCAGAAATCACATCATGCATAAGCACCCACTTCTTGAGCATCGGTCCAGCTAGAACACTTCGCATACATATCAGCGAGAGCGTATTTGAGGCTGGAATCTTGAGCCAATCCAGCTTTAATAATGCTGGCATGAATTCGTCTGCCTTCTACAAGAGATCCTAAACCGGTGCATGCTTTGAGGACACCAACGAAAGTCACCGTGTTTGGCAGCACACCATCTCGTTGCATGCTACTAAAAGTTTGAAGAGCCTCCTGAAACCGACCCTGCCGAACATGCCCAACTATAAGTGCAGTATACGAGACCACATCTCGCTCATCCATAATTTCAAGTAGTTGGTGCGCAATGTCCGTTCTCCCACACTTGGCATACATATCAATTAGGGTACTATCCAAAATCTGATCTGTTGCAATGCCACTTTTGACCATGTGGTCATGTACTTGCTTTCCCTTCTCCAAGTCTCCCATAGTAGCACAGACATGTAAAACAGTTGTATATGCAAACTTGTCAGCCACTATGCCTTCTTTGAGCATCTTCTCATAAAAGATCCAAGCCTTCTCAGGTATACCAGCTTGAGCATACGCTGCGATCACTGAAGTCCAGGTTACTAAATTCCGCTCAGGGAGCTTCTCAAAGATTTGGAGTGCATCCTCTAGGCTCCGACAATTTGAGTACATGTTAAGCAGAGCAGTCCCCACCCATAAGTCAAGCTCGAGACCTGCTTCAATGATGTACGAATGTAGAATCCTTCCCTGCTCGAGTGATGAACACACATTAAGAACACACACATAAGTCACCTTGTCTGGCTTCAAGCCTGCTTCTCGCATTGCTTCAAACAGCTCAAAAGCCTCGTCGAAGTAGCCGTTTCGGGCTGCTCCAGCAATAATTATATTCCAAGTCACGACATCACGGTCCTTCATTTCTGTAAACATCGTGTGTCCCTGCCTTATATTGCCACATTTTGCATACATGTCGATCAGGGTGTTCCCTAGTATTCTATCTGAGTGTATTCCCGCTTTAATCATATCACAGTGTACCTTCTTGCCTTTCTCCAGCGACCTCAAGCTTGCACAAACGGAGAGAATAGTCGTGAATGTTACCCCGTCAAGTGGCAAACGCTCCTCAAGCATCTGCTCGTAAACTCTGTATGCTTCCTCAAGATGGCCTAACCTCGCATACCCCGTCAACATCATGGTCCAAGTGAACATATCTCGTTCTCGCATGTTGTCAAACACCTGACGAGCATCCGTAATACTACCGCACTTCATATACATGTTCAACAGTGCATTAAGTACAAAGGTGCTGGGGACAAACCCACTGTTTTCCATGTGTGCATGCACGTACTTCCCTTCAGCGAGGTCTTTAATGTTGGTACACCTCCTCAGCAGGCAAACATAAGCATAAGAACCAGGGTCGACTCCTCGTTTGTCTAAAACATGAAGAGCATGCTTAGGTCGACCATTTAAGCAAAGCTCCCTGATACTGTCATCGCCCCTAACAACGGTACGTATTCTCGGCTTTTTCATAGGATAAGAAGTTCCTGTTGAGACATCATCAAAGCGCTCTGCATGTGGAGCCCTGGTCTGCATCTCCCTGCAACGCACTCCAGATTCAGTTCCAATAATTCGTCGCAACACATTTTCGGCGAATTTGTAAGAATTGCATATACGAAGAAAGCTGAAATCATGCAAAAAATACTCACTCCAATCAAACCTGAGCTAGGGGTAGAACATCACATTGTTTTAATTGTTTCCGACTCCTGTAAGACATGATCCCCGGCAACGACTTCGTCATTCTCTACATTTATGATTCCATCTGGTGATGCACGGCCTGGAGATATTGCTGCTAACTTCTTCCGCACCCAAGCTGGATTGGACGCACTCTTCATCCAGAGGCGTTCTTTTGTTTTCATATGTATCCAATCTGGCTGCTTTGATTTGACCTGCAATTGCGTCCCAGTGGCGATGGAATGTCAGGTGGAAAGTCTTTCGAATCGCTCAGATAGAGACTCCTGTCGACTAAACAATTCTCTGCTGCACGTGAATTCCGCTTAACAAACCTCACAAATGTAGAAGCCAGACCTTCAGTTTTTCTCTGAATACGCAATGAACAATCCTCAATAAAACTCAAAATTAAACCTTTAAAGTTCAAGCCATCCCCTAAAATCTATTCTACGACAAGGACGGCTAATCCGCAACGATACTCAGAGGTAAAACGGCTGAACCTTTTGTGCTCTAACATCCGCCCATTGCGACGGATCAGAAAAGAACTTCCGCCACAGCCTTTCAGCCTTCACTATCTGGCCTGAACTCGACATAGAAAGTACTCCATTAGTATAGTGCAATCCACAAATTGTACACACAAACAGTATGCTTCTTCAACAATGTAGCTGCGTCCGCAATCTCCCCCACACCTTAGGCTAAGCACATCCAGGGGCCATTTACCCCAAAACGCACCTCTCTTCTTCGGCCAGGGCAAGTTCGAAAGCGGCACTTTCTCAAGGATTATCACTTTCTCGGCTCCAACCTGCAACTCTCCCAGGCCCAATGCGGCAAAATTTCTAGACCCAGCATAAGAGAAATGCCTTAAGCTCCGCAGGTGCCGGCTGGATTCGCCCAGCATCGCAACAGCCATAAGTACATCTCATGTATAGACATCACGAGCCTCGACCAAAAAACCTCTCAGACAACATGACCCAGATCACAAAACTCACGCACAGCATGGCCATGAATAACCGTGACCAACAGACTTCACTACGTTCGCTCCGAAGTGCGGAGTAGCAGCTACCGACATTGACTCAAAACCCTAATCCTGTTCCCTTCAGGCAAACACATTCATCCAATCTCGAGGACCTCAAGCATTTAATTGTTGCGCATGGATCTCTGAACTCCACACTTCTGCGAAGAGTTGGACCCGTGCACGCTGACTTCAATTACATCGCCCTCTTTCACTTGTATCTATAGTCTCTCCATGCACGTATTGACTAACCCAGCAGTCTGGGAGTAATGAATCATCAGTAGCAGAGGGGTAGCGACCAGGGAATGTATCTGAACTTGCACAATTAGGGCTAATGCTCTGTAAGCTTGGCATTCCCTGCTTTTAGTTGTGCGATTCCGAGCACGGCCACGGGAAGAGTCTGCAAGGAAGCGCAAGTTTGTAGGCAATCTTCAAATTCAGGGGGTAACAGATTGAGACGTTTTGATTCATATCACAGATCATGGTCGATAATCTTACAGAGGAATAGTGCAATGGTTCGTATCCATCAAGGATATTCAAAACACGTAAATTCTTCACCTTGTATCGAAGGGCTAGAATAACGATCATCGAAGTTCAAGTGTGCATGGCTCGAGTGTAACCTGCGAAACAGAATGCAATGGTCCAAGAGGTTTGCATTCGGAACAAACCTCAACCCATGGACTCAAACACTGTAGAGAGCGAATATGCGAAAGAGAGTATGCATAGTGTGATGATTTATATGGGGTGTACTTCGAGAGTGGAAAGGTGTGAAGGATGCGAATTGGGAGTCCGCTAGACAGCGTGAAGGACGCCCACACAGAGGGATGGGAGTGAAACAGGAAAAGCTTAAGGACGTCATGAAGCTCGGGGAAAATTCAGAGGAGAGTCGCGTTTCAAGCTTTGAAAAAGATTATCTCTCATATGTGTGTTTTTCTGTTCAATTGCATCATGAGCAACCTTCGTCATCTAAGTCAGAATTTGAAAAGGGTCACGACACTCAGGGATACGTTATGAAAGTGAGCGGAAATGAATCATGAAGATAGAGCTCCCACACCCTAGGTCAGGTACCACTAAGAAGTATGTGATGTTCACATAACTTATTCTTCCACAGACTTCAGAATCTTCTCACTTGTCCAGGTTCAGCAGTTATGATGCAGGTTGCGGCTGTTTGGGGAATAACTGCACCACCTGTAGAAGTGTTCAAGTGCACACCACCAACATGGTCGAAGAAGTTGTTGATGCTAGTCTCTCTTGATTCTGTTGCCATAAATTAACTGTAACGAATTCACTGCTATGGGAAATCAAATATTGAATGAATTGGATTTGAACAATACAACTTGCAGATGTAGGTCTCAGGGAGACAATGTGAGTGCTAGAAACGAATTCCTCCAAAGTTTCTGCAGGGTTATGCCACTTATGCTCTGTGACAAATAAGTCGTGGAACACATCAGCGAGAGCTTCACTCAACAAATATTCCGGATAGAAGAACAAATTGTTTGAATGGTCTTGTTCGCAAGTTCTATCTATGATGATCAAGTTCAATATTATCCAAGAACTACTTGCAACTGCAGCAGTATCCGATGCAGCTTCATCCATCTCCTCTTGAAATAAACAAAAAAGTCCATGCATTTTCAGAAACAATGCTGCACACATTCCTTATGTGGTAGAAGCACATACGCATAAACTCGCATCCTCAAGAGTTTTTACCCATAATCTGATTGTAACAGGATTCCGTAAAGAACTGATGAAAGAACGCTACCAACACACCCTGGAATCTATAGAGACAACAGAAATGTGTATAGATTGGCCAAAACCAAGTGATGACATGTTGCAATTCGTCTCCCTGGCAACCTCATGGAATAATGGACGTTTCGTCTGTATGAATTATTCAAAAGGGTGTATGCTCCAGAATGACTTTGTACACTGTAATCCATCGACTGCAAGATAGGAACCTAATTTCAGTAAAAAAGGACAATTAAGAGAGTTTAGAGTTTAGGGTTTACCTACACATACGCCTCAGACACCATATAATAACTTATTGCTGTTCCATAATGTTGGATCAGGAAAGACATTTACATCTATAGCAGTTGTTGAATCTCATAAATCATGCAAAGGGAGAGCACTCGTGCTCGTAAGAGGTAACATCTGCTGATAACTTCAAGGATCAGATTCGTAAGTGGCCAGGTGGAGAAGTAAAAGACTATGAAATAAAAAAGTATATATCTTTTGCAAATAAGCTAAAGAGATTAGACGATAATCAAGTAATGTCAAGCTTTAGCAATAGGATAATGATAATGGATGAAATTCATAACTTGAAACATTCTATGTCGGACCTTGATGCGGAGACTGTATATGGTCAAATGTGGAGATTATCTCACCTTGCTAGGAACTGTAAGATACTTCTTTTGAGTGCAACTCCTATGATAGACAAAGCTGAAGAGATCCTATCTATTCTTAATTTAATACTTGATGTTGATCATCAATTTGATACATCATTCTTTCCTACTGAAGATGACTTTAGAAGAAGCATAATGGGTAGAATATCATATCTCAACAGTAACCAACACATGGCAAAAGTAATAGAAGAAGGAGTAACTCTAGAAGGTTGTTCGGTCAAGGTCGTTCCGTCTTACATGGATGGATATCAGCTTGAAGCATATAAGAAAATAGATATTAACAATCTCGATGACAGTGTGTACAGAAAGCTCTTTAATGACCTTCTGGGATGGAACATATGGTTTGGATGAACTCACTCAATTGAATAATCCTTGGGTAAATAATTTAGGGCCGCAGAAAAAACCTACAAGCAATCAAGCAAAAAATAGCTTGAGAGATTGCTCCCACCTAAACTCTTCACATTGTGCAGAAGTTCAATACCTACTTCCAACAAGATCACTTTAATTCACTTCGTATTCAACATACGAGCAAAAGAGAACTCAGCAAGGGAAGAAATCGATCCCTACAGGATCAACAAAATTTAAACCCTTCAGAAACTTTGTCTTGTAATTTGACTATATAACTATACGTTGTTCATCATTAGTGGAATGGAAAATGAAGGAAACAAAAAGGACGAGCTCTGCAATCTCACCAACGCATGATGATGTGAATTCTGAATTGTCAGTGAGAACTGTAACGATAAAGCACGTGATAGATACTTGAAGTGACCAACGATTCCATCAGAGGCGCAAATGAGGATGAGACGTCTCTTTCCCCTCACAACATTCTCGAAAGACACAGCATATTCGAGGAGCAAACTCACATGTAGTCACGGCATGCAATGATTCAAACACGGCCGCCAGCCTCCAGCGTAAAAGAATGGAGACCTTTCTTTCAAACCGAGAGTACTTTTATCACTTCTAACCCGTCGGGGAGATTTCAACAACTCATCGCGATCGCCCGAGCAGCTCACTCTGCGACAAAGCGCTTAAACCCTAGCGACGAACTCCTAAACGATTGCCGAAACCAGATCAAGTCAAAAATTTCCTACCATTGCAACAGCATGTAGTGCGTGGAAGCTTTTACAATGCGACACGAACGATCCACGCACTGACGTGAATCCTGGCACGCACTGTGCCCTCTCGATCTGTCGGTCATTGATCCGCACTGACATCCCACGCCGATGGTCATGGCTCGTTCCGCACGAAGTGTAGGACCTGGGAGAAACTATTGGCGGGAACTCACAAAGGCGCGGGGTAAGAATGGCGCGAACAGACAGCCAAGTGGACACATCAGTGAAAGTGGCTGTCGCTCATTCATGACACGAAGGCTGGTGACGTGCCTGTATCAAGAGACGTGGCAGCCTCAATAGCTCGGGTAGAGAGGTGGTGATATGAGATGGCCAAGAATTTGTTAAAGTAAATAAAAGTGAAATAAGTTATTTTGTAGAGGATATTACTTTAAGTAAGTTGCTAATAGTCAAAGGATTGATTTTTGATGAATGAAAAGGGCTTCCTTTGGATGTAGGATGAGATCAAGGACCAAGAATCAAAGTCAAGAGGATAAAGTATTAATTAGTGAATATTTGAAGATTAAGTAAAGTAATTAGTGTTAAGCATAGAATACTCTTGTGATTAGTAAGATGCCAAAGGATCCTAAGACTATGTGTGCATAAATCAAAGAATGGAAGTTGTCATTTAGGGCAGCAACCACTACTTAAAAGTAATGGATATTGGAAGTGAGAAATATCTTATTCTATACTCTTTTGTATGCATCATTATTGATGCTATGTGTTGTGACTTCAAAGTTCTTTTTTTTCAATAGAATTGATGGAGTCAGTGATAGGAAGTGAAGCAATCACTCCACCTCAGCTCCAAGCAAATCATCATAAGTGGTATTTGAAATGGTATATAATATGGATATAATTAGTATACTTTAAATTAACTTCATGTTTGTTTAGTTGAGTTTGGGCTTCTCTTCAAATTCTGAATTTATTTTTCAATTGATTTTGGAAAAAATGGCATTTTCATATTTGAAAAAGAATAAAGAGGACTATGTTACCTAATGAATTAATCAGTAGAAGACTCTACTTCTTAGATTCAGATATTTCAAATATACATATATATATATATATATATATCACCAACGAAAAACATTGACAACAATGCGCTATAGTAATGAGAAGGATAGATTGCTAAAGATTCAATTTAAAGATTATAATGTTTCTCACCTAAATTTGTTTGATTCTTGAGAAATAACATATGTAATCTTTTTTTCTTTTTCTTTTTTTTTTTTTTCCCTCTTCTTTTTAATTTTGTTTTTAGTGATTATTAGGAAAAAAGAAAAAAGAAAAAAATCATTTTTATCCCGCTTTTTTTTGTTTCTTTTAATTTTCTAAATACATTAACATAATTTTCTTTGTTTTGTTTCTATTGATCAATACAAAATTTGAAATTCATAAATGATAATAAGATGGAAAAGAGAATACTCCAAACATTGAACTGAAATGTCAAAGACAAAATGATACATGTTTAATCATTCTAGAGTGTTTTTCACATATTGTATCAAGTTATGACAATTTTAAAAATTATATGTATTTCCTTCTAATAAATGCATTCAAAAGTTGAATGTTCATTACTAACAATACAATTAATCCTGAAAAAAACAATCATCCAATTTAAATCAGAGCAATTTCATGTAATAATAATAATATAAATAAAATAAACACAGAAGAAATGAAAAAATTATATAAAATATTTCACCTTTTTCTATGGTTAATCAGAAAATGGTAAAGGTTTCATTAAATACATTTCAATGCCATCTACATACTTTTCAAACATACATTAAAATACATTAAAGCATTATTATTATTATTATTATTATTTAATTTCTAAATAAATACATGTGTGTGTGTGTGTGTGTGTGTAGATATAAATATATATACAAATGGGCATCTAATAAGACCAAAGGCAAAAAAACAGTATATATATATACATATACATATGGGCATCTAATAAGACTGAAGGCAAAAAAACAATAGAGCGCAAGAAAGATAGAAGAATGGACAGGAGCAGGTACAGTGGAAGTCAAAAAGTGATTGAGACAAGGGAAGGCAACAAAGGAATCAGAAACACAAGGCAGAAGGGTATACACTTCAAAGCCATATTTTGAAATTCCTTGCAAAATTCTTCACCAGAACAGTAAACCCTAATGCTGAACCCAATTGCTATTTGGTGTTACTTTGTGTTTTCCCTTCACATTGCTCCTCCATTGCTTCTCACCAGCTCTTGACACACTCGTTTTCCATGTATTCCTACAGATTTTCGCTGTTGGAAACCTCAACCAATCCATACGGCAATTCAAGGAACTCAATCAGTACATGGCTACAACCAACAGCCATCTACAATGCACACATGGGTTCACACGAAATACAGTCAACCACTCAAACTTCGTTCAGCTACCGAGCTCCATGACATATCAGCGATCGCAATCTTAGATGCTTACTGAGTTTCATCACAAAGCCTCAGTCAGAAGCCAAAAAACTGATGTGAGATTCATGATTGCAAGCCCATTCGTAAAGAAAGCTCCAGCACAACAATCCATCAATGACAACCCATCAACATGGCTCCAGCAGAGTTTCTGTCTCGAAAAGTGGATGGTCAATTAATGTCAGCACCACCACAGCGCACTGATCACGTGGTTGTACCGGACAACGACCGCTTCCCTCACAATTAATCGCTCGCTGGTCATAACACAAACCGAGCTCTATCAGATCGCCTTCATCGCACTCACTAAACAATATCAATGACAAGGTTTGTCTAGATACGATCACATTCGTGGACTTTGAAACAGTGCTAGCCTAATCATGCGTACTACGTGGAACCATGCAAACATCGATTCATGCCACCCGTTCTTTTATGTTTTGCACAATTCTCTAGACCAAGACTCCGGAACTCACGATTTATAATTCAATTTGGAAGCCCAACAGCAGTCAAATCATTCTGACGATTCAAAATGATTCAATAAACTCACAATGGGCGTCCTCGCAAGTATCATGGCACGCTGACAGTCCATAGTGACTCATCACTTCGACATGACTAAGAGAATTCTGAGCCCATAGAACAGTATAGAAGAAATCAGCACTGCAGTGCTCTAACTGCGCTGCTTGCAGTAAATGGCATCATTTATAGCTCCTCAAACTTACAACCTAGTTGGGACCGACTTTGGCTACATACATGATCGCTTACTGCTCCCTTCAACCTCCTGTGCTGCTCCCGGACCGTAGCTGGGCACAGTAGGGGGTGGGGGTTTACAGGGTTCAATGCACTTGGTTGCTGCTCAGACAATCTACATTTAATCCCTTCCAGAGCTTTATAAGAGGGAGTTACAGAAACTTTGGCTTTTCTCAGTCCAATCAGCGGCAATTACCCAGGGCAGAGAATAAGGCATTGACTTTGGGAGGGAACCGAAAATGATTCGGTTCATTGACTTTATACGCCTTTTGTGGAGTTGAGGTGGTGGCCTTATCAAACCAATCTCCTAAAAAGAAAGATCTGATAAAACATCCACAGTTTCCGAAATTGGGCCTAATCTCACTTTGTGTCGAGACTCGGTCATAAAGTAACAGTGGGCGGAAAGATCGAAACGGCGAAGCTGTGCGTCTGCGAGGGTACGCGTCGGGATTCGATACCTCGTCGATCCAAACAATGTTTCAATCTGAGCCGTTCGTTCAAACCTGGATCCCAGGGAATCGACGGACGTCCCAAGATTCTGTGTAAACTTTGAACGTCGTTGCGTGGATGCAGGGACAGGCTTTCTCTGGAAACGTCACTCGCTGAAGGCTGGGTTGGATTAGCCCCATGAAATCGACCCTCCGCCCAGTGGAAGGACTGGTCACAAGCAAGGGAGAGCCAAAGGAAAGAGAAGTGCGCTCGTGCGCCGTCTTTCCCAAGCAGTTGGAATCGCTGTTTTCGGCCGTCGATTGTTGATTTCGATTCGCCGGAGCTCAAAGGTCGCGCTTCATGTGGTTCAGTCTCTTCCCTACCTCGGTGTCCTATTTTGTCGCTGGCTTTCTTCATCCTCGTTGTGGTGGCGGCCTCGCATTTTGCACGTCCAGCTTTGTCGCCATGGCCGAGTAGATGAAACGATTCTCTTGGCAGCATTAAGCTTTTGCAGCATGTGACCGAGGTTCGTTGGACTCGCCTCCAGCTTTTCCCAACAGAGAGAGAGACGCAGGGAAACAACACGACAGCCTAGTGTTGGATTGCGTTGCCGATTGATGCGTTGAAGTCCGGAGGGTGCTCTTTCTGCGTTGCTTCGTCGGCGAATTTTAGTATTTTATTTAGTACTTTTTGGGTGAGCTGATCTTGTGTTGCCTTTTTGGCGTTGCCGGGCATTGCGTTCTGTTGGCGAGTGCGTCTATTGCCTCGTTCGGACTTCTCGGATTCGCTGGACTTTGGAGAGGTTGTCGTTGTGCGCCAGTGTGCGCTGTGAGGGTAGTGCTTCATTTCTGCTTTCGGGTGTTTTTGTGAAGATTCAGAGGTTCGGGAAGTATATGATGGCACTGCACCGTCATGTTAAGGTGCATAGTGACGTTTAGGAGGCCCATTGGCGATGAATATATTTAGCATTGGCTCAACTAGGAGTTTTTTTTGTAAGATCTTTTTTGCTTAGCTGGTCGGGGGGGGGGGCTTTGCGGTTTTTCAGTGACTGAATCTGACAGGGAGGCAATATGTAGTGAAATTTAACTTTGTTATTGGCGAATGAATGGAAGGATAGTTGCTGCTTTGATCTTCCGCTGACAATGTATGCAGCAAATTGTGCCTCCAGGCAGGGGTTACAGGTGCGGAGTGCCGAAATTCAAGTGTTTCATGATTCACGCTCGGTCAAGTCAGACTTTTGTTCTCTTTGAGTCCATTGAGCTCTGGCCTTCCACGAACAATTATCAGTGGCTCCCATTTGTTATAAACTGAAGGAAGTGGCTGCTAGCCAAGACATCCTGGAATTCGTTCTCTTTGAGTTTGTTTCTGGTTATGAGGAGCATGAAGATGAGAACATGATTACGGGAACTATGCAACACGTTCCTAGAGTTACAAAAGTTCGCCAGGTGAACATCTCACCAAGCGCCCCTCTCGAAATCAGATATTGGAAATGTATTCTCGGAATTGGAGTTTGTTTAAGGTTACAGCAAATACCTCACGAGGGATCTTGACATGTTAGTAGGTCAATTCAGAGCTCCCATTTGATTGTTATGTACTGGACGTTCAGGACCGTCCGGTTTGAACGAGTGACTCCAAGTCTTGGTGTGGTTGTTTGAGTTGATAACTCCGCTACTCACTCTTTCATTCTTGGCAACTGAATCAGTTTTTACAGAAAAGATAATACTTCTGAGATTGATACCCCAGCTCTTGGTTGCAGTAGCATTCTGGTGGGAATTTGTAGTATCGGCATTGACATGAAATGGTTGGTATTAGTGGCGCTTAAGCTTGAGTGTGGAGTGAAAGGATTATATAGGCCAAGGGTTCTAATGGTCTTTTCATTATTTTCGATTTAATCAGGTGTCTCTTGGAGGTGCCAGTGCAAGAGAGCTAACTCGAGATGAGTTGCTGGGACGGGTGGCCCAACAGAGAGCAGTTCGATCTTTTGGCAAGCAAGCTACTGCCTCAGCGCTACTTATTCAGGTTCAATTCGCCTTGCAAGTGCATGCAAAGTGTTGCTCTGTTATTTGCAATCCGGATCGTTTTCAGAGAACTAACATCATCTCATTTGAATTGTAGAGGGTATGGAGGGGTCGAACCATTGCAAGGCAGGCTGCCGCTCAAGCCCGCACCGATTGGGACAAGCAGTTTTTTCTACGACATGGTGAATATCAAAATCCGATTTCCGCTGATGCAATCTCTAATCAAATGCTGCGTCCACTCTTCATGTTTCTTAGACATTCAAGCTGCTTCGATCTACATCAGACACAAGAAGGTGCTGAAGATGCGGGTCGTCTCGCGACATGTTTTCGAGTACTCTTGCAAAGCATCCACAATCCAGGTGTGTGCTGACCATCCTCTTAAACACGTTCTATATCAGGTCACACACAGTTGCACACTCTAAGATCAGATGATGGATAATCTAGTATTTTATCAAGTGCTTGAATATAAAGTTCTAGCATTATCCATGTTTGCGCAGGCACAAAGCAGGCATTTACTTTTGAAGCCTCACACTAGTTGTTGATTCTTAGGTTCTTTCAGCAGTTATTGACTCATTTAGTAGCCCGTGATAAAGTTTAAGATAGTTTTGGGAGTTTAAGAGAGTTGTTGAAGTTGTGCAGTGGTGGAATAGGCTAAGTTATTTCCTTTCCAATCTTGAGGAGGAGGCTAATGAGGCTCACTTTCTCGAGTTTTTGCGAAAATCATGTGCTTTCAGACATGCGGTACAACTACTGCGACTTATCTGTTGGATTTCCGGACAAAATGTCGAAATGGATCTACCAAGCTCGACAACTTCTGAGGCTTGCTTGTGCGGCTTTAGGAAAAAAGGGACATGAATTCGAACCGAAAGCGTCGGACAATAATCACATTACACTGGAAGCCTCCAATTTGGCAGGATTAGCTATACGAGTTATCATTGGATTAACGGACAGTGGTACATGGAAGTGCTTTGATGAGCCAGGGCAGGAATTCAGGAAAAGGAAGGCCCATCTTGTTGTTTTAGGTCTGTTGGAGTGGCTGGCTAGTGGAAGCGGTGGTCTCTACTTGGCTGTCCAGTCATATATATTGGCAAATTTTCCTGTTCCAGGCATAAAGGATGACCATGCCCGTTCCCGTGGAAAGAAAGACAAATTTATAATTACGGCGAGCATAATCACTATCACTTTGAGGCCCCTGCTGGTACTATCCGCAGAGTGTAGTAGAGACAGAGACGATGAGAAGACTTTTGAAGATAAGGACTATACAACTGCATCAAACAGAGCAGCTGCACAGTTTTCCGCGCACATTCTCACTATTCCTTTTCTACCTCAACGTTTACCTCAGCCGTTGTTGCCAGCATTGCAACATCCCTCAGCTTTATCTCCATGCCTCCGTTGTTTTGGGGTGCGTCTCATTTTATGTTACATTCGACAATGTTTTTTTTAATGTTGACAGCTCTCTTACTTGGAATTACTGCTCTTAGTGGGTCTTCTTCAGTGAAGAATTCTGCATGCCTGCTTCATCTATTTGGTTGCCAGTTGCTTGAAGTTTTAGTATATCTTTTTGGCACTGATTTTTGGCCCCACACTTTTTCAAATGCAGGTGCCCATCAGAAACATGATTCAAGCAGCTACAACTTCCTCTGCTTTACCCTCACTTTCCTCTCAGCAAGGAAAGGTTGATTGCAAATTAGCTGGTGTGCCACTCTCTGCTTGGGCTCTCTCCAATCTCGTGTGCCTTTCTTCCCATACTGTGAATGACAATGCTCGGTTTGTAAATGGCTTGATATGTCAAGAATATGTGCAAGCCTTGTGCTGCCTCATAGAGGACTTGAATCCATGGGTTGAATCTACTCGAAAGCGTAAAATGGCTGAGAAGAGTGCAAATGAAGAGGAAGACGACAGGGATGTTGAAGATAACAAGATTATTAGAATCAGGTAAGCAGATTTTGAAAAACTAATGCATTGCACAAACTAGTGAAAAAATTCTGTCCAGCCCTTAGTTCGTAATTGAAAAAGAAATTATGTAATTATGTGTATCATTCAATGTCTGCTATTTTAAAATCCCAGTCCTGTTTCTTTTGTTTATGATTTACAACGTGAAGTGTTGAGTAATATGGCACGAGGTTGAATTCTTCTTTCAGGAATGAGACTTCGAAAACACGTGAGACAATCATTTTCCAGTTACTTGTTGAGAGCTTAAGACCCCTGCATCAGCAATGGCACCTTCTTCAGCTCATGAACGAAGCCGCATTAAATGATTCTGCTCCCATGGTATTTTTAGTTGCCAAACGATTACCCAAGGGTGATACAGATAAGCTTTTTAGTCAATCAGATGTTGCACGTTTATATTCCAATTTGCTGCCAGCTTTTTCAGTCCTGAACCCCTTTGGAGGGGCATTACCAATTCTTAACCTTCTTGCCTTCACTCCTGGAATACTTCCCCAGCTTTGGGATTGGCTCCAAACCTCGCCAGGTCTTGCCCACCTTTTGAACTTAGATTACTTTCAAGGAGAACCGAGTATTGAACGATGTGTTGAAACCCAACTGAGTAAAACCCAGAAAGAATTATATAATTCTAAGAAGAGAAGTACAGGCGGTCGATTGGCTGCTGCTTTGGGGTGGAAAAGCAGGTCAAAATCGGCTTGTTTTGCTGGTAGTAATAACTCTTTCATTGTAGATAACCGCTCTTCAGGTAGGGCTCCTGAAAGACAGGAATTTTTACCTGGGAGATCGTCCATTGGAGGAGTTTCGTTAACAAGAACATTTGAACAATCTGGTATTTTGCCACCAAGGAGGTCTGTCGATCGAGTAAGGCGCACTCCGCGGCGCTCCCCTGTTGGGCGACCAAATTCAGATACTCCAAGACCGTCAGTCGACCAGCTGGTTCCCACATTTAGGGATGAGCGTCTTTGGAGATCTGATGTTATTAGTGATCGTCCTGACACAATCAGATTTTTGGAGTCACCTCGGGTGTTGACAAGGCAGGGTGCGAGTGTAGACAGACGAGCTGTATATTTATGAGTTCTGTAAATTATTTATGTTATTTGGTCGACTTACAGGGACACGGAGGCAGAAGTTGACGTGCCATATCGGATGGCGGAAATGGACTTTTCTAAGAAAGGTCCAGATGGTGTGCCGGAGGACGTCTTACCTGTTCTTTTGCTGTTTTGCGCAGCGTATTCCCATCTGCTTCTTGTTCTTGATGATGAAGAATTCTATGAACACCAGGTAAGCTTGTATAATGGTAATATGAACGGTATACATCTGCTACTGTTTCGTACTTCAACTCCTCCGACGCAGAGAATAGGTGTTTTCACGCAGAAAATTGTAGTCTTTTTTGAGGTGAAACTTACCACAAATCAACTCGTTTGTTTGTTTGTGTTTATTTTCTCATGTTCGTTTACCTTCGCTTTTGTATGGGGTCTTTTATACAGGAGCCGTTCACGTTGGATCAACAGAGAGTTATTTCAACTATGCTTAATACTATGGTGTACTGCGGGTTTTTGTCTACTTTTAAACGAAGAAACTCTCGTCTTATGAATGTAGCAATCAAGTGTTTGAGGTCATTATACGAAAGAGATTGCCGGCATAGCTTCTGCCCTCCAGGCTTTTGGCTAGGTCCAGCTAAGACCATGCGTCCTCCTACAGTTGCTGCAGCTCGATCATATGAAGTTGCACTTGCTCTGGAGAGGTCCGGTGATTCATCGCAGGCACCAGCCCTAGGGATTATCCTGAGAACAATTCCTCACGTAATTCCATTTGAAGAAAGGTAATGCCATTTGATTTTCTTGGTTCGTCTCACCTTGTTCAATCAGAATAACTGCGGAATACGTACAGATAATGTTTGTGAGCAGATTGCTGTCTCAACCGTTCGGAGTGGGAATCCTCTGTTAGCATCGTGAGTAGATGTCAATTTGAGACTTTTGTTTACCTGTCAATACTCTTGACTTGTTTTCATTCATCATATCTATGCTTACTGGAGTCTAAGTATGGATATGCATTCTCCCTTTGATTTAAAGATGCCTTTTTTTTGTTGCAGGGTACAAATATTTCGTGAGTTTGTGCGAAGTGATAAGTTGCTGAAGATGGGAGGAGATGCTGTTGGTTCAGGTCCAGGAACAATCGAAGTAACTGTGCGACGGGACCATATTGTTGAGGATGGGTTTGCTCAATTGAATGGTTTGGGATCGAAGTTGAAGTCCTGTGTGAATGTTTCTTTTGTTAACGAGCTGGGCCTCAAAGAGGCTGGTCTGGATTATGGTGGGTTGTTCAAAGAGTTCCTCATCGACCTCGCCAAAGCAGCTTTTGATCCCGGGTATATACTCTACTTTGATCGACTAGGTTCTAATGATGATGTTATAGCAATGAAGTGCAGTTTCCAGATTTCAGCAACACATTTTGGCTCGAGCATGCACTTATTCACTGATTTTATGCTGCATGTAGATATGGTCTTTTTTTTCAAACAGCCACAGAAGAGGGGTATCTTTTTCCTCACGCTGCTGCTGGAAGTCTGGGCCATGGATTACGAATGTTGGAGTTTCTAGGACGCATTGTGGGGAAAGCTTTGTATGAGGGAATTCTATTGGAGTACTCCTTCTCACCACTTTTCATCTCGAAGCTTCTGGGTCGGTATAGTTTTCTTGACGAGCTGTCTAGTCTAGACGCAGAGCTACACCGAAACCTTGTTTACCTCAAAGTAAGTTTATGTTTATGTGTGAATAGTGGTTCATACATTCATTTCCACCAAGATGCACATTTGCTTTTGGTTAGGTTCTTCTGGCCTTGTTGTGAACACATGCTGCTCTTGTAAGTGTTACCTTGAAGTGAGTTCGTTGAGTTCCCTTTTTTGGTATCTACTATCTTGCTATCAAGCCTTTATAAGCTGGATCACCTGGTTGCAGCATTATGGGGGAGATGCTCGAGACCTAGCCCTGGACTTTACTGTAACAGAAGAACTTTTTGGTAAGCATTATACTGTGGAGTTACGACCGGGTGGTGCAGATATGGTAGTGACAAATGAAAACAAACTGCAGTACGTTCATGCCATGGCCGATTATAAGCTCAACCGGCAGGTAAGTTACATATTCAATCTTGTCCTCTGCATCTTCTAGCAGAATCCATCACTCAGAGTAACTTTTTATAGTTGTGTGGTTTTTCCAATGCTCTTCCTTCGTATTTTGGTTCCCTCGATCCGTCATATCTTGCAGGGTGTGGGTCCTAGGGCCAGTGTTATGGATGGTTGCATAAGGAATTATTTTACGTTGCAGATGAGACCTTTGGTAACTGCATTTGCAAGGGGCATGGCGGACATTGTTGATCCACAATGGCTTGGTCTTTTCAATGCCAAAGAATTCAACCAGGTTAGATAAAGGATTCCTTGTATATTTTCCTCGGTATGAAGCATTCTGCCTACAGCTGTTTAGATGATTTCTAGTTGGGTAGATGTCACAGAATACAAATATACTCTGCACAAATTGTGGAATGTCTGATTAAATAATTATTTGTGAGCCTTTGAATAGTTTGTTGATATTCGCATCAGGCACAACTAGGGAGCTCATCATGAGAATAGCATGCAGACCTCAAATTGCCGATTTTGCAGCATCAACTTTCCTAATGCTTAATGCTAACATCAGTGGTTTATACCGTGCGGGCTAGCATAGCTGCTGTCAGGTGGTGACCATGATTTTGACGTGGATGACTTACGCGTTCACACTCGTTACACTGGTGGCTACACTGAGAGTAGTCGAGCTGTTAAGCTATTCTGGGAGGTATGTAGTTCGCTGTGAAAGCAGGTGCCTTTTGCATGAACATCATCACACTTGGAGGGGTTTAGTGGCTTTTTCTCTGTCTCTTGTATGAAGTGTCTGTATTTGCATTGTATAGGTGGTCCGAGAGCTTACAGAAGAGGAAAGATGTGCCCTTTTGAAATTCGTCACCAGCTGTTCTAGAGCACCCATTCTGGGATTTAAGCATCTCCAACCTGCCTTCACTATACACAGGGTAAATTACTTTTTTCTTGTGTATTACTCTGTTGGAGAAACTACTTTGGTCTATATCTCAGTGCTGTTTTCGGAAGAATCGTTAATATTCCTGAAGTGTCTGTGCGTGAAGTTTGAAAATCATTGATGTTCGCATACGATTCTCATCCAATTGGAAGCCAATACTTTCAGGTAGAATGTGAGGCATCAATGTGGGCCGTCATTGGTGGGCAAGATGTAGATCGTTTACCATCTGCTTCTACTTGCTACAACACCTTGAAGGTAAGATTTAGGATTTCATTTCTTTGTAGACAGCTACGAGGTTTTCAACTAGAATGCAACCCACGAGATCGAGAGAATGTATACTTGTTGAACAAAGAGCAGAACAATTTTTTTTTTTTTGAAAATTATGTTAATAAGTTAGGCCAGCAGAGCATCTGTTCGATCTGAGCCAAACCTGAGCTGCCTAAAGTTTTCATGGTCACCGGGAAGTTTCACGAGATGGGCTTTGCATTTCCATTATTCATTTCACCTTTTCAATGATTTGTATTGTCCATCCTCATTGTCAGTGTTTGCGCTGATTTGAGTTGCTTCTGAAAAACCTAATTGTTGTACTTATTTCTGTCCCCTGCATCATGATTTCAGCTCCCAACTTACAAGAGGGCACCCACTTTGAGGGAGAAATTGCGGTATGCCATCAAATCAAACACAGGCTTTGAACTCTCTTGATTTCGTTGCATTGGTGGAGGACTCATGGGGCTGGTAATTTTCTCATTCGTGTACAATTGGAAGGTAGATAGCAGAACACAGTCAAATGATGTATTGTGCCTTTTGACGCTCACACTTCGATGTACAGAATTTGTTGCTTGTCTGTGTTTCTACTTAGGTATGCATGATACAGCATTTGCTTGTGTCATAAGAACCTTCCCATTTTAGCCTTCGAAGGGCAGTGTGAAGCAATACCATACGATGCTGAGGATAAATTCTTAGAGCATTCTTCCAGAGAAGGTAGATAGTTATTTAGCTTGACCTGATGGGGAAGGGTCAGTGTGGTCCAAATAGCTTAGATTCTGTAGCATTGCAATCTTCATCTTTTTCAAGTTAAAAGGTCGATAGCAAAGGAAAAAAACAGAAACCTAATGGAAAACAACTATCATTCTTTACATATTGAATGATTGTAGAAATTAGAAGAAGTTGTGTAATGTTTTGGAAATAATCTATGTGTTATAATTCCAATCATGCATATAAATAAATAAATAAATAAATAAATAAATAAATGATTTACAAGAATTATTTGATAACCAATTCTAAATAAGAATTTATTTTCTCTTATACAATTGCATTTAGAAATATTTAAAGACAATAAGTACAAATAGAATTCAAGATTCAAAATCAAATAAAATATAACAATAGAGAATTAAAAAAAAAAATTGGCTTTAAAACTTAAGTCTTTCAATGCTTGTAATTTTAGTGATATAATAAGAATTCTAAGCATGTTTTAATATTAATAATTTAAATTATCAAAATCACCAAATGTTTTTTTGCACCATTTATTTTAATAAACTTATTCTTATTTTGATATTTTTTTAAAGTATGGATTCAAAATATTTAATTTAGATTGATATTTGTTAGTAGTATAGCCATGAAATATCAAGTTTAAAACCATGTCAATATATACTACTTACTATAAGTAGTAGTAAATAGATTCAATACTTTAGGTATTATTTTCAAATACAACATCTTTTTAAATCTAAGATTTCTAAGCATTCTCTTATTGTAAAATAACTTTATTTTATGTATGTATTTTTTAAATTCAAAGAATTTTCTAATTATATAGTTATTTCTATAATTTTAAATATTATTAATACCTATTTACTTTAAACAAATACTCAAAAATTATATTCCAACTACTATTCTGTATTTTATTTTAGCAAGTTAATCTATTGATAATTGTTATCTTTTCTATGAAGAGTAATTTTTATCAATTATAAAGATATGCTAATTAGATTATTAAAATGATATCTTTGACACTATTCTTACAATACAAAATATGACTAATATTACTATTTATAAATAAAAGTAATATTTGTGTATTTATCAAGGACATGAATTATAAAAAATCAAAGGATCAATATATTCTTATGTTGTTAGAAAAGAATATATAATCACTCAAAGATGTTTTAATATTAAACTAAAATGGCTAATATCAAAGATAAGAAAATTAAAGACTCTTGAAATAAGACTAATAAAAAAAAAGATATTGACAAGAGTAAAAAAGGCTTCACTCTTGCTTCAATATATACTATCTATGAAACAAAACCAAACTATCTCAAAAACCCAAGATACTTTTATTCCACAGCAACATAAAATCTCATCACAAAATAGGACAAAACAAACGAGAATAAAATTGAACGCAATTAAATAGAATTGGACATGATAGACAAATTGAACAAAGAGAAAGAGAACAGAACAAAACTAAACAAAAAGATGCAAAACCAAGCTTTACTAAAAAAAAGGATCTAAAGCCATATATACCCCAAATGCCCTAAAAGGCCTTGGCCAATCCTAATTATACCTTATCCTACTACCCTAGACTTTCTAAAATGTTCTTAGGTAGTGGATCCTATCTAGATAACCACCTTAAATTCCTTTTCTAATTTTTTTTATAGTAGGTTCTATTTAAATAATTTTCTAAATTTCTTTTTTAGAAGGTTCTATAGTGGATCCCACCTAAATAATCGTCCTAAGCCTTTTCCAAAAGATTTCATGATAGAACCCAGCTAAATAACCACTCTAAACTCTTTCTAGAATGTTCCACAATGGATCCTACTTGGTCAACTGACCTAACTCTAATTCTAAAAACTTCCATGATTCTATTTATCTATATAATTATCTTATCTATACCTTGTTACATTTAATTCTACTCCACTAATGTAAAACTTCCTCGTTTTGCTCCTGATGGTATCTTGAAATTGTTTCTTGGCAATGGGTGAGGTTTTATGCAGGTTTTTACGTTACATTGTGAATGGGATAACCTTTCCAAAGAACTTTGTACTGAAGTTGTGGACGACCACTACCATGATGAAGGTAGCGATATATCAAAATATTGTCCATTTCATATTCTTATTGGTTATCAACTACAACTAGTTGTGGTGGTGGTTGGTAGTTGATGCTAATTTCAAAAGTGCTTTGGCTCAATGTGAAATTTCTTCATTTGCAAAACATAAAAGATTGGATGGACTCAAATATATAGCGGAAGCTTGAGGTGGTATGCAACATCAAAAATCATTGTGAAAATGCAGAAAGATTCAAGCCATCGAGGTACTAGTTTATGAATTTGGATTGATGTAGCAAGTGGCAAGTTGGCATTGGAGAGTAACACCTAATCACCTTCTCAAAAGGTCTTATGTTGTCAGTGGCTATCTGCATATTACTTTTATCAATTTTGTGCAATAACAAGGCGGTGCCATGCCTCTCTAAGGCCATTGTAAGCCGTTGTATAAATTATTTTGTTGTTGGATTGTTGATATTGATGGGACGATGAAGAGTTATTGGCATAATTAGATGCTAATCGATATTCAAGAAAAATGATAAATGATTGGTACTTGCTTGAATACTATTATTATAAGCAAACTCCAAGAGTATCAAGTATTCATTCCAATAATTATGATGAACCACCACAAACACCCATAACATATCTTCTAAGGTTCAATTTGCTCTCTTTATTTGCCCATTTGTTTGGAGTTGGAAGGTTGTAGACATGGTAAGTCATATACCTAGTAGCTTAAATAAGGCTTGCCAAAAACTTTCCATAAAGTGTGGATCTCGATTTGAAATGATGATACGAGGTAATCTATGGTAACAAAAGATGGTATTAAAGAAGACTTGTGGAAGCATTGGCGCATCAATATTTGAGTGCACTGCAGCCAAGTAAAGTTACTTTGAGAGTTGATCCACAAAGATGGCAACTGTGGTATAATTATGAGGCATCTGCGATAAATACAAAATGAGATCTATAGTCACTTACTCTCAACGTTGTCATATTATAAAATGACTATATGGTGAAAGATGATAATATGGATCTTATTATAAAAGAACCAAGTTAAAAGATAAAGTAAAAAAATATGGATAAAAGATAGGAAGGTAGTAAAACTTTTAGTAGTAGTACTACTTTTTTTATAAAAGTAACTTCTATTTACTTTATAGGACCATAAATAAGATAAAATAAGGTAGATTAGAAAAATAAATGATATAAGTATCTTTAGGAAGAAGTTAAAAGTAAATTCTAGCAAAAATTACCTAAAAAAACTAGATATTGATATCCAAGGAGGGCCGGTTAGCAACCTAGGTCGAAATCAGATCTTGAGGCACAAAATCAAGCACCTATGGTAATTTAAGGATTCTTTTGTAGATCAAAGAATGGGATTTGATAGCAAACTAGATAGAATTTCTATGAACATTAGTTTTGGACAACTTGGATTTGTAATGACTTTGTAAGAGCTTTACAAATTTAAGTTTGTTTTTGGATGACTTGAGTTTTGTGAAATAAAATAGGATTGACGTTTTAAGTGATTTCAAGAGTTTTGTAACAAATCTATAAGTGAAATTTTGTGGATTGATGGTCATAGTTGTGTTTAATATGTGTTGTAAATCTTAGCTCAATTTAATAGTTGAATTGAGGATTATTGAGGTTTAAGTGGATCAAGGTCTCAGAAAGTAGAATTTTAGGTCTAATGAAGGTTTTTAAGATATTTTGCAATCTACTAATTGGATTGGAGTGAAATTTATGTATGAAAATATTAGAATTATTTTCTTATGTATATGAGAATTTTGAAATCAATTGAATGGTGAAAAGGAGAAATATTGGCTCTAGGAGATTGGCATTAAGCTCAGAGAAGGAGGTCGATGAATATCCAAGTACGTTTTTGAGGCTATCATCTATTTGGTAATTCCAATCTTTTTCAAATTTTTTGTGCTTGTTGTCAACTTAATTCTTAAGAAGTGTGCAAATTTTGAGTTAAGATCAATAGTTCATTCATTAGTAATCAAGGTTTAAATCTATTATAGGAATTACTAGGGCTTGATTTAGGGTTTGGTTTAGGATTTGGTTAGGATTTGATTTAGGATTTAAGATTTGGTTAGGATTTTATTAGGGTTTGATTTAGGATTTAGGATTTAGGATTTTATTAGGATTTGTTTAAGATTTAAAATTTAGTTAGTTTTTGGCCTAAAATTTGAATGAAGTCCAATAGGATTTTAATTAGGATTAAATTAAGATTGAATTGAGATGTATTTGAGATATATTTGTGATCATTCTAATGTTTCTTTAAGATTTCTTATTATTTCTTTGTAATTCTTTTAAGGTTTCTTTGAATTTGATTAAAGCTTACTTAACATTGTTATGGTCTAATTAGAGTTTAGTTAATATTCTATTAGAGTTAGGATTTTGTTGTTGCAATTCCCATTCTATCTTCCAAAGCCAAGTGTTCGAAGCATTCTCAAGCGAGACTTCACGTATCATAACAATGTGCCATAGGTAATGGAATTATTGCAATAGTCCAAGACACATTGCATTTCGTACTTTGTTACATTGAAATGACTTGTAGGAGCGTACAAGGGCTTGAACATCACAATCTAAACCTATTCAAAATCATATCCTTGAGATCTGTTTTAGGATCTTTTCTCATCCCAAATGTGCAGATATTGGGATGTTATGTTCTTTCTGAAGTATGTATGTCTAGAATTTAACATTATTGGGTACATAAATTTACTTCTTGAAATAGAGCAAGCTATTTTTAAGAGTGTAATCCTAATATTATATATTGCCTACCTTCAATCGATTGCTAACCATCTTGAAATAGGCATCCCATTGCTTAGCTTCTTTCCATTCTATTACTTTGGTTAGATCTGAAATGATACTAGTAATAGTAGCAGCTTCTCCCTTGTCTTTTGATTTGTCCTTCAAGTATGGTCTCCATGATGAACCATCTCGTATAATATGTTGTTGCCCTTACTACTACTCAAGCTAGATATCAAAAAGCTAAAACTATTCTTTTCAATGATGATGCCATAATTTCCTATTTTTTAGATAGAAATCATGTAACAAGGATCAATGGTCTATCAAACAACTATTTGCTTCCTCAATAGATAATATTACCACACCTTTGTGGCATGTACAATTGCTAATTGCTCTCGATCACATGCATAGTAATTGCACTTCTTCTTTTTGAGCTTGC